TTAAGGAAGTTTTGTAATAAAAATTAAAATTATAACATGCCACTTACTCAGTCAGCGTTACGTTCGTTCCGGTTGCATGAGAGGCTTATTTAATTGCAACTGAGTTGTTCTTTCTATAAAAAGTACGAAAAGACCCGGTTTCTTGTGGTCTTTAAAGGGATAAAATTTGATGTATTTACAGTCCTTCATTATTCAATAGTAATGTGTCTTCACTGCAAATTATCATACTCATGTCTAATGTATGTATGCCTGTAAAACTGTATTTTTGAATTAAAAATTTGCGACGAAAGTCAACGAACGGGCGAGAGTTTTAAGACTTCATTAAAAATTAATGCAAGGAACTAAAGCGAGAGTTTTAAGACTAAAGCCTGGTTTACACTTGTCCTAAGAATCTGGGATTCCTTTTGTCGGAGGTCGCTGGTGCGCAAAATGCTTTGTCTATCCAGAAATTAATACAATGGATCCCCGATTCTTAGGAGCTAGTGTGAACCAGGCCTTAATTGTTTTAAGACTTAATTAAAATTTAATTAATTTTCGTTTAAGACTTATTCTGGCTAATCGAAATAAACGTGGTCGCATGTGACTATTGTAATCATCAGTGGCACTAATACTTCCAGATTCTTTGTGCTTAACATCAGCTGCGGCAGCTGCGGGTGCAAGGATTGTTTTCAAAAGTGGTGAAGCCAGTCTGACGATTTACTCCTGCATGCTATTTAAATATTATATGCATGTATTCCTCTTATTATTATTTATATTATTATTAATTCTTGGCTTCAGAAATTCACTGTTTTCACAGTGAATGAACACCAGGTAATAGATCCCTCGATCGAAACTAAACGACTGCACGCGTATTCTTATGCACTCGACTCTAGTTTTTAACAATACGCTTGGGAGTTTGGGAGACCGAGAAATAATCCGTGGGAAAACGAGCCCGTAGGACAGGTTTCTCCACGTTATTTCGAGTTCTCTAAAACCCCCAGAAGTGTTTCCATAACTGTATAAAAGCACAGGAAAAAATGTTTTCTATTTGTCTTAATATACTCTTCGATAAAAGTTTTTGTACAAATATTATAATTCGATTAAATTACAAATTCTCATTACATTAATTAATTCGCTTGCCAAGTTCGGCGGGAAAATTCTCGTGTTTCTATACAGTTATACAAATATGCTTCTCGGTCAATTAGCACGCGCGTACTAAAAATGTTATATTATAATTTATACTAGAAATACATGCATGCAGCAACCCCTCGCTATTTCAAACCAAGTACACAATTTCCTGAGTTAACCTGACCTAAACTTATATTATGAAATGACACAAAACTCAAATCAGTCCTATTATATTTTACCGAGTATATTATAGCTAATGTTTCCATCATTCAATACAAAAATAATCATAAAGCTAGTGTAAACATTGCCCGTTCAATTTTGCTGCATTATACCATGCAAGCAATTAAGTAACGATTTAAAATCGAAGTTTCAAACGATTAAAACAGTACAAAATCTTCACAGACAAAGAAAAAACTTCAAATGTTATTTTATTCTGTAATTGCAGTCGACGCCGGCGGCTAAAAGTTTTATACTTTATAAATATAGTGTGTATTTTTGATACCAAAATTCAAATTACACTTTCAAAAACACTTTTTGAAGTTAAAGCAAAGGTGTAATAGCCTTTCACAGGTTTATGCGTTTGCATAAAAAGCTGAAAATTTTACAAATAAACGGCATACAAAGCTGAAAAGTATACAAATACGGCTTTCTTATCGCGAAACAAATACGAAATAAACAAAGTAAACACGTACCCTTTGTCTTTGAAAACATTTATAAGTTTGCAGATTATGAATTATTCCTCTTACACGGCTTTGTCTTGACCGTATCCACGTTCATCTTTGCTAACTGTCATGCTTCATATATCTTGTTTCTTCTCGTTTTACTTTCTTTGCACAAAGTTTATGAAACGCTTTTACAAATTACAAAAATGTTTACCAAATACGAAATGACAGTTAATTTAAATTGCTGACGTTCTCATTGAAATACAAACTTTCTGTCTTAGCCAATCAGAACGTTCGTTGATTACCAGACGTTACTCGCGCATGCGCATAACTTATAAAACCACCCAACGTCGACCGTCCATGACAAAGAATTTGGGCAACTTTGGATTCGGCTATGTTCTACCGGGTTCCGGGTGTAACTCCTAATCTCCGAGCGGAATTAGTACCCTCGCAGGCGCTCCGCGCCCGCTCGGGGATTATTAAATTATTTACTTACCAATCAGCAGCATTTTTATTATGTTGCTAAAATAATGTGCCGATTTCCCGGCTCCATATTCCCCAACCAATCTTCTGCTTTTATTTGTGAACTCTTTCCGGCTAAAAGAACCAGCAAAATCACTTCTTTAGCTCGTGGAGTAAACGCTTAGCAGGCGCCTTATTTGTAATCTTATAATTTTAGTTGGACTGTTACTGATGATACTGTCGACATCAAATACACAACAATCTTGTTCAGTGAGAAATTTTAAGAAGATTACTGTTGGTAAGCATTTAAAGTCCAGCTTGAAGAAATCGATTAAATATATACGTTTAGCACATCTTGGCATAAAGATTTCATTTCTCAATAATGAATTTTATATCAGTTTATCAAACAGATTACATTCCTAAGTAATCTTTGTCCCGTAAAGTTATAATTTAGTGATTAAGTTATGAGTTATGATTTATGACTGTGTGCATAAACTGGAATCTATATCACTATATGAAGTCAAAATGTCACTGCAATCAATGCGAATTATTTAGTTGGTCAGGTAACACAAAATATTATGTTTAATAGTGTAAAAATATCACCATCAAAAAGGGGACAATTGCACGAAAATTGACAAAATTCTCGAAGCCCTGGTAACCAAAACTTATAATGCCATATTAAACTTAAGCAGAAACAGTCGATAGAAATGGAATTTCAAAAATAACTCAAAAAGTACTATAATTTTGTTAGTTTGTTTTCTTAGGAAGCGAATCTTTTATTGCGTGGTTTTTGAATTGATAGGAAACAAAGCGATACCTCCTTCAAACTTGATCTCCAGTCACAACGTTCATTACTTGGGAGAATGTCATCTTCTCTGCATTGGTCATGATAATTGCTTTGGTTACAATTTCAGAGAAAAAAGGAACATTTATAGGAAAAACTGCCAACTAAGCAACAGCACTGTAAAAATGAACCAAACAAAGAATGGAAACGTTGGAAATTGGACATATTACGAAGACGTTCTGGTAAGATTTGCTGTAAATAAATGCAAAAATAAGGGCTGTTCTTCCGTGATACATTTTTGAACTTTCACTTCAAATTAAATCTGCTACATATACATAAATTATCCCATTGTTCATACTTTGGACTGAAGAATTGGTTGAATATTAACTTTTTGGGTGCGCGCAGAAAAGGTCTTTACGGGACAATGCATAATGTACAATGCATAAAATATATTTAGTCTTTACTCATTTTATAATCGTTTACAAATCACTTTTACTTTAAATATTTTTCTCATCTCATTGTTTCTTGCCCATATTATAGGTTAGAGAAGGTAAGCAAAACATTTAGTTGATGATTGTGGAATTTCCGTTCACATGTAAAAATATTCTAGTCTTTGAATTTTGATAAAACAAGATCCAGACACTAAGCTTTTAAAGTCAACCAGTAAAACCCTATTAATCATATCAGTAATATAAATATAAACGAGGCAGACTCTTTCAACAATTCCGGTGGGATGATCATCGATCCCAGTGGCATTAGATCGATTGATAAATCATTCTATAATGTCTTTCAACTTAACCGCTTGTTTAGTTAATGGCCGAAAGTTAAATAACTTCTCTCCTGTATCCTAGTTGGCTTTTAACTAACGTAATTTAAGAGCGGGAACGCTATATTCTTTAAGGTTGAAATTACAGAATAAGTGTTGTTCGCAACAAAAGCATTCGCAACTACGGATGGATGATGGATCACTTGTTTGTTTGCAGATTTTTGTAGAATATGATGAAATTGCGAGAAACATAAAATCACGGAACCGCCATTTCAAAACGTAAAATCTGAAAGGGGTATTTTTCCTCTTGCTTTCCAGGTTATTCTAGTTGTCTTGATATTAAGAATAGAATTGCAGGTCACAAGGATGGAAAATATTTGATTGATCCAGATGGAGATGGCCAAGGCAATCCATTCGAAGTTAATTGTGATATGACGTCATTTGGTGGTGGATGGACAATGTGTTATACGACAGACAGTCATGTGAATATAAAGACTGAACTCACCACTACACCTGAACTGGGATATCGAGCAGACTGTAACAACATATCGGTACGTTTTTCAATATTTTTCGAAATTGCTTCTTGCTAATTATACTTATTTCAGATTTCTTTTTAACAGAAAATCATTGAGCAAAACGAAAAAGACAGTAGAATAACAGAAAGCGTAAAATAGGTCATTTCACAAACGCAACTAAACTTTTCCAATGCCCTTATAAAGAACATTATTATATCGCTTGTCAAAGTTTGGTGTTCGTAGCGTTTCATTGGTCGAGAGCGAATCACACGCGAGAGTGACGAAATTTTGATGTCGCCCGTGCGACCCCCTGCAGGGGAAAATAACAACTTTAATCACGTGCGGCGCACCGGGATATGTGACCTTTGGACTGTTTATTCATTTGAAATTATTGTGATAGACTCGGCTTTGCCTCGTAAAATATCAACTGGTCTCGGGTCCACATAAATATAATGTTTCCTTCGGTCGGGGTAAATAAATGTTAACTAATAATCCTGATAAAGGAACGTGTAATCTAAATGGACTTTAGGGAGCCTACAACTTAGATATATCCTTGATTCATAGCGCACGGTGCTTGCAAACTGTTTTTTGGGTAATTCAACTGAATGAAATTAAACACGACGCTATTTGCAATTATGAATTCAAAGCCATTTAATAAAGAATTTTCAAAATGAGAATTACTAATTGTCTTCAGTTGCACGTACCTCGTGGTCTGGGGAAGATAATTTCCGCGAAATTTCCATTAACCAAAATCTTCTCATTTCAGTTTACTGAGGTGATGTTTGTCGATGAAGAATCTAAACAAAAAGCAGCTTTTACCAAAGATGGTCCGCCTATCACATTGTTTGGTAATTATGATAAGAATGCAGCGTCATATGGTTTATGGACAGCAAATGAAGAAGGTGTGGCTACGACGTAATACAAATATCAGATGCTTATTTGTGACACATCCTTCTTTAAGGGTTTTTTTTTGTCAGGATATACAAATAACTGCTACAAACTTTGCAATGACTGGTGTGCTGACATATCGTCTGCATATTTTCGTACACCTGCTGTCTCTGACCCAGCTTTCCCAGGTGTCGCTTTCAACGAAAATGGTCATGGGCCAAAGAAAAATCGTCTGATGAGTGTAGGAATTCGTTAAGTTGTCCACCAATTTGAATGCTGAATATTGATGTTTGATGTCTTTGAGATAGAGGAATAAAAAAATCATGCAATGATACTCGTACAATTTAGAAATGAAAAGTACTCCTGATCAGATTTGAATTGCCCTTGCGGCTAATCTCAGCAGAATTTTAAAAAAATCAATCGCATTTTTAAATTTTAATCACCCTCGCATGATTTTTTCATAATTTATATTAATTAGTCTAAATTTGCTGAAAAATGATGCCGATTAATGTAAATGTTTTTGCCGTGTCGACTCCTATATTATTTCAAAATAAATATGAATTTTAATTGCAATAAAAATTATTAATAAGTAGAATTGCAGAAACATCAGTTACTATGAAACCATAGCTACGCAAATTTGATCTATGTAAAGGAATTAGTCCTGCTAGGCAAATTTGGTGTAATTTAGATATTAATTGTTTTTCACCGTCAGTCAATGAACACCAAAATATCAACATAGCAAATATTCACTTTGTGACCTACAGAACTAGAAGTAGTACATGGTACTTTTGCATTTTGAAAATAACAATATGAATATTAAGTGTGTTGCCTTTTTTGATAATCGTTATAATTCGTCGTAATTGGCAATTATAATTGGTCGTATTTGTTCTAATTCGGTTTTTATATGTCAGATTTCGCATAACAACCCATTATGACATCTGAATTACAACGAAGTATGACATATTATGAAAACCAACCTTATAGGATTTAATTGATATACTATATAATTATATGTACATTCGTGTCATTATACTATAGTTTTCATATTAGAAAAGAAAGCGTTTATTTATTATTGTTGGGAAACTTTGTATATTAAATAAAATTCCGTGTGGTGAACATTTTGTGAAGTAAACTGCTATATAGGCTGATGAATCAAGTTTTGTTAATAAGTCAAAATCGTATAAAGAACGCAATATTTATAGCATTATTTTGCATGCTCAAAAAATATCCTCTGCAGAAGAAATTGATTGTAATAATCATTTTCCTAGAATTCTTCATCTAATTATATAAGCAGGATAAGTTTATGGAAATTTATTCCACCGTAACACGACCATGGATCGCCTGAGGCTCAGATGGTGCTAGGCTGCTTGCAAGGTATTTTTTGGGATATTGCATAACACACCTGGGAGTGTTTGACATTAAGAAAATTTTGAATGTTAAAGTAACTGCAGATGCAATTTTCTAATTCATGTTTGGGACTGATCACGATATTGAATATAATATATACGGTTTTTCCAAATTGTGTAATGCGCGAGTGAGCATATGCGTATAATGTAGTTGACACGCACAAAGGAAATTTTAAATTCCACCCAGGAATAAAAATGCGAAGTTGAAGTTGTCCGCGCTGAGTTCGTGAATTCAAGACGAGTTTAAACTGATAACTCGCAAACGTTGCAAACGTCCGATTGACTAAATTTTATAACATATAATTTCAACAACGAAATGTTCTCGAGCTGTCAAATTTAACTATAAATGTGCTACGAATGCATGGTTTTAATTCTTAAATGCTACAATTTTTAGCGGAATTCCAACTTCTTTTTTAACAGATCCACCTTTATTAAAGTTGGCTTTAAATAGCCGCTTTCCTAATTCCAATTAATTTCATTGCTTAAGTTATTATTATATTATTGTATATTGTCCTACACGCGAAAAAAGAATATTCGTTTTGGCCTGTAAAGCATACAATAATTTGATTTTTCACCGGAAACTCAAACCATGGACTCTGATCGCTTTTTAAGCCAGCTAGACTAAATATAACATGGATCTCTTGATCTTATTTCACCATCTCTCTGCATTGAATGTGTCGTTGCACATAAAGGTAATACTCAAGGTAATGCATAAATAGATTTCAAAATTAAAATGTTACAATAAACTCAGTTTGTTATTCTAATCTGATTTTCATGCGATCGACTCGCCAGAGGAAACAAGTCATTGGAAACGAAAACAAGTATTTATTACTACTATTATTTTTATTATTTTTTATATTATATTATTATTATTTATATAATTTGAACACACGCATGTATAGTCTAGAGATGATCATAAATATAGGATATTATGTGGTTGCGAGAAAATATAGATTTTATGCTCGAGTGCAAGTATCTAGTATAATTATAATATCTGTGTCTTATATGGACTAAAATCAACGCAACGACGACAAGTAAATCAAAAAACACCTAATAATACATTAATATTCCTGTACAACAATTTTGGTCTTTTAATTAATTTGCAACTGTAAATTTTCTTCCTCGTTCTTTGCCATTCTACGTACGTCGCCTAAATAATGCGAGTTTTAGATTCGAATAAATTTATTTTCAATTTATTTCTTTTAAAATGAAATTAGGTAGAGGCACTGTTGGATCATGAAAAAAATGTTTAGAACTTTCAAATTTCCGTTTCTCTTTATTATTCATCATTATAATTATATAAGCGCTATGTATGGTATACACGTTATCTTTGAGAATCTATTTTATTATAACACCACCAATGATAATAAAGACCAATGAAGGATGGGCTCGAATGGCAAGCCAAGGGTATGTGTTTCATTTATAAAACTTGTAATTCACTTGATATACTTCGACTGCTCATATATTATATAATACTCACATCACACATGTTAACTTTGCCTGTCTAATTTGGACAATATCAATCCGGCAAAGGAATATTCATGTCTTCCAGACTGTGTAAAAGTCCTAGCGTAAAAAGAGGGCTACATTAAATATAAAGATAAATTTCAATGCAAGGATGATAGTTTCTTTTAAAAACACACCCCTGCCGTTATTTGGCACTTTAACTTAATTATTAGGCCCGTTTTAGGATTAGACGTTGAACTTTTCATGTGTCGAATCGAATGTAAATGAACTTAAACAAAGACTTTGACTCATTAACATTATAGGTTCGGCACATGTAAAGTTTGACGTCTGAAACAGGCCTCAATATGATGAAATCGTGATCTCACCATTTTAAATGTTCATTACACCCAGGGCATTCTGCAATTGTCCATGCGAAACCTGGGAACCAGGAAAATGCCTCAGCTGGCTGAAAATAATTGCAATAAATAAAATATTTAAGTAATAATTATGCTCCCACCAGAAGCAATTATAAATTATAATAGCTATTTTGGTCATGAGCTGTCGTTAAAACGTCCTAAATTGAAACTTTTATTACCGTAGTATTGGATGTAGTCGGAGCATTTGTGTAAATTAGACCTTTTTAATATGAAAAAAATATAATTATAAAAATACTATTACTCACGAACCTGCCCAGTCTCCCGTATGTCGGCTTTACATACTGTTATCACGTCGAAAAGAATCCCTATAAAGAGTTTGTGTAGCTAATATAATAAATCCATGCGCAATAATGTACAATATTCTAGTCTTTTTTAAAAATCTAATCCGTTATCGTAAATTTTATTTTTACAAACGTGACAACTGTCTCGACAAATTTACGATTTATGCAAAGTAAATAAAGCACAGTTGTAAATAATTTCAGACCATTTTTCGCTCTTTTATTGTTTCAGGTATAGCATTTTCTCTCAATTATTGATTTCTTCATCTTTCTTTTTGACAAAAACAACTCGCCGCCATTTTGAAATATCCGCTTTTTACCACATAAATAATTTCCCAATTCCCGTGCACTTTCTAAAGGCGCGCGATTCTGTTTCGTTGGACATGTTCGTCTGCATGCATACTGTAGTTTGTCAAGATAGTGTGTCGTGTGTTTAGAATCATATTCAGACGAATGATTCGTCCAGACGGATCATGATCTATCCCGATGTTGAAATGCCCTCCCCCCCCAAAAAAGATCAAATTTTTCAGAATATAAAACGTGCATCTGTGTTGTAAAATGCAAATCGGTTTATATTTTGTTGGTCATTTCGATGAAGACATATTTCTGAGAAAGAATTCGAAAGTTGTTTTCTGAATATCTACATCGCGGTGCAGTTCAAATTTCGATGTTCCAATCACGGTACTACGTAGAGCAGCATTGAAAACTCCGTAGAATTAGCTCTGCGTAACTTGTGCTCATAAAATTTACTTATCTATAGCTGCCCCTATTGCAACTTGAATTGGGTTGAAAAGATAATTTAAAAGAACTTCATAAAGATAATTTAAAAGTACTTCATGTGTTGAACTATGCAGTATAGTAACTAACCTCTTGGATTTCGTAACGTCTGAACCAGTGTTTCTCCTTGACGAAAAATACATTCCTTTTTGTATTTTCTGCGTGCTTGAGGGCTTATTTTTTCACAGACATAACGACCTTCGACTACATTGTGACAACATTTCCGGCATAACAAAACTCCTGAAACATATATTAAAGCCCCAGTCAGCATGCTGACCAGCTGTGCTAGCTGGTATAAGCCAACTTCGGCAGAAATCGGTAACCCACTATATGCTATTAGCTAGCACTTTCTATTTTTATTCCTGTTGTCCCCAAGGGGAACTTTTAGGGAGAGCTGTATACACAATTCATTGTCATTCTACTCCATGCTTTTTGCCCCTTTCTTACCTGAAACAATCCGAGAACACCATTCACGTTGGACAAATGACAGCCGGTACGGGCTGCTTTTGTGGATTTGCAAAAGGCGTTTTAGTAATCTCTGACACTATCAAACAATTTTTTGCTTGGTAAGTTACCATCGCGATCATTGGTCAAGAGTGAAACTGGTTTTGGACTATCTCAGAGATCTTTCCCAAGTCGTTGGTCTTAATGCTGAGTGGCGTAACGCACCAGGGGGGCATTTGAAGCCCCCCTTTGCTCCACTAGAAATAAGCTGAATGGTGGTATTTATATATATGGTGTCTTATCAAATAGTGAATTGGTGATTGAGTGGGTACCACCTGGATCCAAGTTAACACCGCAGAAATTGGTGTTCATGAAGTCTCTACCCGAAAATCTAATCACTGATTCACAATTGTGCATTTATGTATCGCTATCAAAGAGAAAACTGTTGACTAACATCTGACAGCTGTGAAATGGCCATTTTGAGGCTTAAAGTATACACAAAGTTATTATAAGTCAGACGAATATCGTTTTTGCCATGTGCAATCGCAAGCTTCTAATCTTTTGTGTAAGTCTCTCACCAAGTTCGAAGCATAAGTCTTACCAATTTCCACGGCGTCACCCAAGGGTGAATTTAGGCCCTTTGCTGCTTTTGGCTACATGTGAACGATTTATCTAAGATAATTCGAGATTGCAGCATTTAAGGTATGCGTGTGATACGGTATGCGTATTATTCTGTTATGCCTCAAAGGCTGAATAAACTTACTGCTAATCTAAAGATACTTGCGGGATGGTTGCGTAATAGTTTATTTGGGAATAACACAAAAACTGAGTCAATTTATTTTTTGGAACTACTGATAGATTGAAAAAAAGTGGAACGTTTCCAAATCTGCGGGTTTTTGAATTTAAATATACCTAGGTATTGTATTTGATGCATGAGCGTTGGTAAGCTCGTTTGAAATAGTTATGTCCTTGGAAAACCTGAACGTTAACATCATATTTTTGTACAGCTACTAAATATATATTCGTTCATTTCCTTGCAGTTCTCCACAATTTCTAAGAAATCATTTTAATGAGATTCATAATAAGCCCGCGAGTGTTACACAAATATAGTATATTATAGTATTTTTAGATCTTATATGTAAATACATATGAAGTATACTAATGAATCTTGCTCTGCCTCCATAGCAACATAAATAGTTAATGAGGCTGAAATCAGCTGTATGGAAACGAAAGTGCAGTCTAAACACTTTTGCTTTCTATTTCGTAAATCGCAGTAGAAAAATAATACAAGCTACGATACAATATATATATATATATATAAATGTGTCCATCTCATAAGCAACGAAAACAGAACATATCTTTTTTCTGTAAGTGCATCATCAACGCTGGTTTATAAGCTTAGTCAGCATTCTATACGTGAAGGGGACTTCCCCAATTTTGTATATAATCCCTTATAACAAATACATTCACCTAAATAACCATAAAAAATATCCCTTACCTTTCTTGGCATACTGTAATGTACAATCCGAAAAAAAGTTGAAAAAGTCCACGAATATTAAAATCATAAAGATAAGCGTGAAAACACTGCTTCCGACGTAAACCAGTTGAAATATGATATTCATTGACATATCCTGCAATAGCTTCGCACAACCAATACAAATAATCAGGCCAACCGCTTTCAAGTTAAGAATACCCCAAAAGACAATTTTTTCGGTATTCCTAACAGCTTGGTCAAATCTCCCACTAATTTTGTCACACGTTTTTCTTATCACGGCGATCCCTTCGGCCGCCTTTGAACTAAGATCATCGTATGTTTGACTAGCTGTTTCAACAACAGTTGGTCCAACTGATGTGATAACTGCATATACAACAGGACTAGCAACAAGTGCCCCAATGCCAATGATCATCAAAGCCATTTCAAGTAATTTTTGTAGCTTATTAAGAGTTAAAACTTGCTAAGCCATGAGAGAGTGTCAGTGCTAATCGATGAAACAACAAAGGACAGCTACAACAGCTGTAAGTGCTTCCACAAGCATATTGAAAATTTCTTGATTTCTTTGAAAAATGTTCCATTAACTGCAAAAATTGCAGGCAATATATTAAATTGAGCTTTGCCTCAAAGACTGTTTCACCCAACTTATCAGGGCCGTAGCTAGACGGCTTAATTCGGGGGGGGGGAGGGGTGTAAATTCATATATTCATGTTTATATACCATAGGAATAATAGCGTTCAAAAGAAATCAGTCGGGCATAGGACGAATATTGAATATACACTCCCCCAATTAAGCTTCAAGCTACGACCTGCATCTTATTCAGGTTTAGTAACTTGCTTTATCCTGGATCCGCCAATGGATCGAAGCACCAATATTGTGCTGCTCGTTAACTACCAAATTTTTGTTGATACGAAAATTGAAGATCTTATAAAGCCGGCAATGTTCGCTATAAGATATTTAGTAATTTTATAAATTTAAAACAATTACAAACCCTATTCCAGTAAAACGAAACAGAGGTCTTAAACATAGAAAACAGGAATTAAAAACTGAGAACTGAGAACTCCGGTTGAACTGAGCGCTAATAATCCCGTCTTGATTAGTCAATCCCGTCTTGATTAGTCGAAAGCGAGATTTTGATATACGTGTTTTTAGAGCTCTGCTAAGTTGATTACTTTTTAAGAATCTAATCTTCGTGCATCTTCGTGCTTCGCTATAGCGATGAATCAAGATAATTTTCAAGCTAATTTGTTTATTACAACTAGAGGTTCTTTCAAATGGTTAGGCAGCTTTGAAGACCTTAAAAAGACTTGCGATAAAATCTTGAAGATCGATTCAAAATGGTTCGTGCCCAGAGGTGGATGTAAATCATTTGAAAATGCAGATATAACGATCAGATGGTACTCAACAAGTAATTCATTGATAATTAAAGGTCAAGACGGCGAGTTGCTTCGCAATGAGCTTAAACTGATCGCGAATTCAATGGACGAAAGTGACGGGGATTCGCAAGATGACGAGTTGGTTTCTGCCGAAGGCAAAGACGACGGAGACAGTATAGCTTCATCACAAAGTTTTGGGAAAGCAGACGAAACTGTTCAACCAGAAGAAGGTCCTCAAATATACGATGAAATGCAAAAAAAATATCAAGCCGAGCACATGTATGGTGAGATGATCACTGAAGCAGTTAATGAGATTAAAGTACAAATCGAGCAGCTCAAACTAGGTATTGAAGAAAACAAAGCCTCAATATCTAACATTAAGGCTTTACCTGTAAGTATAAAATCGGCATCTGGCAAAGAAAGTCTCGAAATGTACAATCTTCGCCGTGAAAATGAGAAACTTCAACGACAGAATGAAAATCTCCTGAAGGAATATGCCGAAAATACTGAATGCATGAGTAATCTCGCTAATGTTCTTTCTGATTTGAATACCAAAATCAAAATATTAAAAGACGAAAAGGCGAGCTTGATAACTGCGATAAGCCTCATACATGATGACTATCGCCAATCTTCATCGAAAAGTAAAACCTCGGGAAATAATCAATCATCAAATGTTATCAAACAGAATGGCTGGACTCAAGTTAAAGAGAGAAATGCGATGCCCGCTCGTGTTGCTGAGAGTAATGACCGTGACTGCTTTGTTGTAGAGGATTCCAACAGATATATGACCCTGAATGATGAAGCATCTGGCAATAGTTCCAATGTATCTACAAGCAACGATAATGATAAGGATGCTTTTTATGGCGATACGTCCAATAAACAAGGCCTAAAGCAAACACCAAAAATTAAAAAGAAAAAGATCAATACGTCAATAGCAACGTCGGCCACGCAAACTGTAAAGTCAGCAACAACCGATGATATGGCTGCGTCAAAAACTGCCTTCAACCGAACGACGATACACCCAGGAAAAAAGAAAACCGTTGTCATCGCTGGTGACTCCATGGTTAAAAATGTTATTGGTGCAAAAATGAGTAATGTAGATAGGGATCACTTCTATGTGGTAAAGCCCTTTCCAGGAGCAACTGTTGAAGACATGAACGACTTTATTAAACCGCTAATCAATAAAAGACCAGATAAGTTGATTCTTCACGTTGGAACCAACAATCTTAAGAGTTCGTCCGCAAAAGTTGTTGCTGATTCTATCGTAGATCTTACGAACACAATCAAGCACTCCTCTCCAGATACAGTTGTAGGTGTCTCAGCACTTGTGGTAAGAAATGATAATCAAGAACTTGCTGGTAAGGTAAAACAAGTTAATGATATGCTAAGAAGTCATTGTAAACACTCCCAAATATCGTATTTAGAAAATGCTAACATTAATAGTTCCCATTTGAACTTCAGAGGCCTTCATCTAAATAATGTAGGCAGCTCAATTCTTCAGGACAATTTAAGAGAATTTGCAAATAATATACCTAATTGACATGATATTTCCCCGGACATTTCAGCAATAACCTCCGATAATCAACTAAATGACTTGTTGAATGACCCGGCAATAGTAAATTGTAATTCTGAATCTGCTCTTAGCGAAATTGCTAATCTCAAAGGTTTTCGAATAGCTAGCCTAAATGTTAATAGCCTCTTGAAGCATATCGATGAGCTTCGAGTAATATTGGAAAAATGTCCGATTGATGTCTTAGCCATCAATGAGTCCAAAATCGATGAATTTGTCTCAGACCATGAAATTAAAATACCTGGATACGATTTATTCAGAAAGGATCGTAATAGACACGGTGGGGGTGTCGTTTTATATGTTAGAAACTGCTTTTCATGTGTTGAACGTACAGAATTGGTTCCAAATTCGCTTGAAATGGTGTGCATTGAAATTTTTCGTCAATATAGCAAGCCATTCTTAGTTTGTTCTTGGTACAGACCTCCTAATGCTAATATAAGTTTGTTTGATAACTTTGAACGTTTTATTCAAAAATGTGATATGGAAAATAAAGAATTAATAGCTTTAGGGGACTTTAATTGTGACGTTAGTAAATCCCCATATGATAGTCACACGCAAACATTATTAAATATATGTACGTTGTATCAGCTGAAACAACTGATAGAAGAACCAACTAGGGTGACTAAAACAACTGCAACCTTAATTGACTTGGTTCTAGCTAACAATCCTGAGAGTATTTCTAACTATGGAGTAATTAATTTGGGGATATCCGATCATAACCTAATTTTTGCTGTCAAAAAAATGGTGTTTCCAAAGAAAAAACAAGCCTTTAAGGAATTTCGAAACTTTAAAAATTTTAATGAACGACAGTTTCTCGAAGACTTAAATACGGTTCCCTGGGATTATGTGAACCAATTTAATGACCCAAATGATAGCTGGCAGATTTGGAAATTATTTTTTTAGAGACACTCGATAGGCATGCGCCAATTCAGAGTAGGCGGACTAAAACTAAATCAATGCCATGGGTGAATGCATCCATAAAGCAATTTATGAGGGAAAGAGACCTCCATCAGAAATTGGCTAAAAAATTTGGCTCTGAAGCGCATTGGGAAAAGTATAAAACCATCAGAAACAAAGTGAATTCTGAAATAAGAAAAGCTAAAGCTAACTACTTTCATAATAAATTTTCAGAATCCTCTCAGCAGAGAAATGTTAAAAAAAGCTGGTCATTAATTAATACTCTTCTAGGTAAAGACGGTAGTAAATCTACAATTGTCAATGAACTCAATACCGGCGGTAGTGTTATTACAGACGGAGTTTCAATTGCAAATCAACTAAATAACTATTTTGTTAATATTGGCCCGTCACTAGCGGCTGAAGTGACAAATTGTAACGCTGCCTACAAAACAAATGTTAAGGATTCTACTTGCCGTTCAACATTTTGCTTCTCAGGTCTAAGTATTGATCAAATTGTAAATAATCTAAAATCTTTAAAAGTTTCTAAAGCTACGGGATTCGATAAAATTCCAGCAAAAGTACTTAAACTATCTGCGGATATAATTGCTCGATCACTGACTGCCATTTTTAATCTATCATTATATACTGGGAAATTTGTCAATGATTGGAAAATAGCACGAGTCCAACCAATCTATAAATCCGAAGATAGGAGAAAGTGTGAAAATTACCGTCCGATCTCCATTTTGCCAATTGTTAGCAAAATATTTGAGAAAGAAATTTTTCGACAACTATATGACTATCTGTCAGAGAACTTACTGGTTTCAAAATTTCAATCTGGCTTTAGACCAAAACACTCAACATTAACTCTACTTCTTCAAATGTGTGATAAATGGTTGGAAAATATGGACGAGAGTAAAATTACTGGTATAGTTTCCTTAGATATTCGAAAAGCTTTTGACTCAATTGATCATGAAATCCTACTGATAAAAATGAAAAACCAGTTTGGAATAAAACACTCCGAACTTGCTTGGTTTGCTTCCTATTTGACTAATCGAGAGCAGGTGTGTTATGTGAATGGCTATATATCGACTCGCAAAGAAATAATAAGTGGAGTTCCCCAAGGTTCCATTCTGGGTCCCCTGTTGTTTCTGCTGTATATCAATGACTTACCAGAGTACCTAAAATTTACTACCCCTGGAATATATGCAGACGACACCCAAATCTTTGCGTCGTCGGATAACTTTGATGAATTAAGCCTGTTTTCCACTTCGCCCGTACCGTAACGTACCGAACCGTAACGTAGCAAATCGTAGCGAATACTTGTACGTTGTACTTTATCCACTTTGAACGAATAGTACGAAGGCGTATAACATAGAAAGATTTCGCGCCAATGCTACAATTTCAAACATGGCTATCATAAGTAAAAAAACACTAATGATCTTTTTGTTAAAAAGAAATAGAAAGAAAAATAAATATAGGAAATCAATGTGGGTGCGTAAACTTTTTCAAGAGCGTCATTCAAAAGGGGAATTCTACCTCCTTGTACAAGATTTACGTTTGTTCGACGATGAATTGTTTTTCAGGTACTTTCGTATGAATGCTGCAAAATTTGAGGAACTTTTAGCAATGATTGCTCCAGAAATTCAGAAGTCGAGTGTCACGCGAGAATGTATAGGGCCAAGTGAACGGCTTTGTGCAACTCTACGGTATTTAACTAATGGTGATTCACAAACAACAACAGCCCTGTGTTATCGAATCAGTCCAACAACTATCGGAAGAATTATATTTACCACTTGCGAAGCATTGTGGAAAATATTATCAGCAAGCCACCTCAAGTGTCCCAATAATCAAAATGAATGGAAAACCATCGCATACGAGTTTGAAACGAAATGGAATTTTCCCCACTGCATCGGTGCTATTGATGGAAAACACGTCGTCATGCAAGCACCGGGAAACTCCGGATCCATGTTTTTTAATTATAAAAAAACGCATTCAATTGTTTTAATGGCAATTTGCAATGCCAGTTACCAATTCACCATTGTCGATATTGGTGAATCTGGTCGAAACAGTGACGGAGGTGTATTTAACCACTGTCAAATGGGTGAAGCAATTAAGAAAAACCACTTAGACATTCCGGATCCAGCTGCATTGCCTGGTTCTCCTAAAAAGTATCCGTACGTTTTAGTGGCAGACGAGGCATTCCAATTGCAAGAACATCTCATGAAACCTTTCCCAAGAGAAGTTCTCGGTTTACTTGAAAGAATTTTCAACAAGACGCCTGTTCTGGCGTTAACTCCGGCGCACGTGCCAGTCCTCAATATAGAGCTTCTGAACATAAACAATACAGTTCATATTCGCATTTAGATGCCTTGCGAACCTAAATGTTCGATCGCGAAATTCAAAAGGACATCGTACTTTAAAAAGTATAGAAAGCCAATTGTTCAAAAATGTAAATAAACCGCATAATATATTCGCTTTGTCTTACACTTTGCCTTTGGAATTCGCGCTTATATAGTAATATTAAATCTTCAATCCTGTGCAAACTACGACGTTCAACGCGCCCATACACGACCACATCATCTTGTTAAACGGCGAAATAGCAACGATATTATTAAAATAGGACCAAACTCTGCATGTATTAAATATATTCTTGCCCCAATTCAATCTAAACTTAGTCGAAAAGCATGAAAAGAACGGTTTATTTGTTGCTCTTGGAGGAATTGCCGTATCATGCGAGCGAAATCGAATCGCGCATCGGAAAATTAGCCAAAGCTGTGCACCACAACTCTTAGCAGATAAGACTGGGACGTAGATAAATACAGTTACATACACATTTTAAATACTACAAAGTTTCGCGCCATTCAGACTTGCGACGACGAAAAATAAAAAAAATAAAAAAAAAAAAAAAATAAAAAAAAAACCGGGGCGAATTTTCAACTCCGTCGCTGACGCCGGAGTAATTACAGATTGTCGAGAGCAAGACGCATTATTGAGAACACGTTTGGCATTGCAGCTGCAAGGTTCAGAGTTTTCCGACGTCCCATTCATGCAAAAGTGGAAATGGTTACTAGAATCACCAAAGCTGTAGTAGTTCTACACAACTATCTTATGGCTGGCAGGAAATTCTCACATGAAACAAACTACTGTCCATTCAGATTTGTTGACAACGATACAGCAATTGGGACACAGCTTGGGAAGGAATTTCAGGTTGAATTAAATCATTGTCAGCATCACATGGTGAAAATGCCGGACCATATTGATAATTTTCTGCTAATGCTGGGGTTGGAATGGGAGCTTCCACATCAACAACAATGTTTGTGTCAGTCTTCCTTCCGGTCATAACATCCCTCAGAAATGAAAGCTCGGCAAAAAATTCACATGTTGGTAGCTTTTTTCCAGCACATCCAGAACGTGAAGCCATTTCCCTTTTCCTAATACACCTTCTAAAGTTGTCTTTCAACCTGTCAAATTCTTTGACTGCTTTACTTTCTAAAATTAGACAATACATTTTCAAAACTAAGTGAAATATTAAACAATTGCATTTGTATCAATAATGCATTCACTTGAATTTTATAATTTATGTACCACTGTAAATTATAAAATCACTACAGACAAATGGCAGAGTTTATACAACAAATGGAGGGTTGAAACTGAACATTGCATATATTGTAACTGCCAAAGTTAATAAATTAATACTACATTGATCAATAAAATTGTCTAGCATTTGAATTTATGATACACAGCACAGGCCATAGAATCTTGATTGTATTGAATTGTTTTTCTACCAGTGGCTATCCTATTATGAACAAAATACAAATTTATAAAAGCCTAAAATGGTGCATTTCTATCTTGTATGGTTAGGAGACTTTTTCACACTGAATGAATCTAAGGGCATTCCCATTGTATCATACTGGTATATAGTCTCAATGAAATGTATCAGGGTTGGATAAAAGGTGATTTTTCCAGAAAAATATCTTCTTTTTTCATTCATTAATAAAAGAAGACTTTTGGAATTACACAATTAAAAGTAATGATGATAACATAAATCTTTATTATATATTGTCTTCCTTTGCTTGTCCCAGGGAATTTGCTAAAATGTTTCTCCTCAGTATAGATATTTATGAGTGAAATATTTTGCTGAATTCTCCTATGGTCCATACATTATACCAAATAATCCTCATCTAAATTAAAAGCTGAATCAAAACTTCTTGATTTGTCTTCAATCAAAATAATATAAAAGATATATAGTAAAGAAGAAATTTTCTGAAAATGAAAGTCTTCTTTATTATAAAAGAAAATAAAGGGAAAAAATAATACAAGAAGATTTGCCAACACTGAAACGTATAGCTCTAATTTTCAAGATAAAGAGATACTGAAAGGGCTCTCTGACCTGCTACTTTTAACGATGTAGAAATTCTGCGCCATGCCTCCATCTTCTTCGGCTTGTCTTTATAAGACTGCAGTGAGACGTTCCAAACACAGGGGTATTTTCTCACCTCTTCAATCAAGTTCATCGAAAATGACGAATCTTGCCTTCCTTCAGTGGTTTGAAGATTTTGAACCGCCCCCATTTCTTCTGTGTTATGAGAATTATTCATATCGTCATCTTCAAGATCGATATCAAGCGTTAAACTACAATTTAAGTCATCAGCAATGAAACTATTATTTGACCGCACTCCTGTTGTTGACGCCATTTTGTAAAATAATCCTTGGTAGCCAAGTGAAAACTTGTCCTGTGATTGGTTTATTCAATACGTACTTCGTTACCGGTTCGCAAAAGTTGAATGAAAGCGAACTCTATTTTTCAATCCGCGTAGCCCTTATAGATACGCGTGCCATTCAAGAATTTAAAAACTGCGCATGCTCAACGATACGTTTCGCTACGTTACGGTACGGTACGGGCGAAGTGGAAAATAGCCTTAGTAGACATGTTGAACTCTGATTTAAAAAATATCAGTAAATAGCTTAGTGATAATAAATTGCAACATCATACTACCAAAACTAAACTTTTGTTTGTAGGCTCTTCGTATAACATTCAAAATAAACTAGGAAATAAGTCAGTGATCTTTGAAAATGTACCAGTAACCCGTTATAGATCTTGTAAATGTTTGGGCGTCGAGATTGATGAACAACTTAATTGGGAAGCCCATATAAATGCAATAAGCAGAAAGGTAGGCGCGGGAATAGGTGTAATGAGACGAGTTAAACCCTTTGTTCCTGAAGAAACCATGCACACCATTTACAAAGCTTTAATTCAACCATACTTTGACTATTGTTCCCCTCTTTGGGACAATTGCGGTCTATTATTGAAAGAAAAGTTGCAAAAATTTCAAAATAGGGCTGCTCGGGTGTTAACGGGGGCAGACTACAATACAAGCTCCTCTGAACTCCTGGAGCAGCTTAGATGGAAAAATCTCGAAACTAAATATAAAACTAACAAAGCAGTTCTCGTTTATAATATCCTAAATAACGGTACTGCTCCGTGCCTTCGCGAATCCTTTTCTGAGCGTAGTGTAATTGAAAATGGTTATAACCTGAGGCATCACGATACTGATCTATCAATCCCGAGACCTAAGAAAGAGTTTCTCAAAAGAAGTTTTAAATATAGAGGAGCTGTATTATGGAATAGTCTTTCGCGTGAAGCTAAGTCTGCTCAATCGATTCATTGTTTCAAGAGGCTCATAAATTCAAGTAGTTAAATCTGCATATTATATATACAGGGTGTCCCAAAAAAAACGAAAACTATTGAAATCACTCATTGTTAAAATTTGAATGAAGGTGATGGTCCTTGAGATGCACATTTAAATATTGTTATCCATATTTGTAAACTGTAAATATTGTTAATAAATATAATTTTTGCGCACAAGCAAGTTTTACTGCATCATATGCATGCATAAAAATGCGTATGGCAAACATTTATACACCTGTAGGTCCCAACAGAGTGCTTACGCATTCAAACTCTAACAATTGCATTGTTATGGGTGATTTAAATAGTTTTCGTTTTTTTTGGGACACCCTGTAGTTTATATTTGTATAGTGTAATTAAGTAGACGCCCATAATGTAATTAAGTAGACGCCCTCCGTGGAAATCAGTGGTAACTGACGGGGCTAGTGTCTGTAAATAAAATTTTTAATAATAATAATAATATTAAATAATTGATCTGCATTGACGAATGTGAGTATAGAGTTTTAATGGCCGAGCTTAAAACTTCCACAACCAGCATCGTTGTCAGAAAAAATAGCTATGCTGTCACGCTTACTCGTGACAATCACAGAAAACTACGAAAACAACATTGGGCATTACAATTTTCAAAAATTACGCGCGAAAATTATCCTGATGAAATATTGCATAATAATAATAATTTATTGGCGTAATCAAATATAAAATACAAAGATAATATATAGTAATTGAATTATTAAACCGAAATGAGACAAGTTATCTGAATAAACTGAATGTTAAACTCGTCAGATAACCCGTAGTTAATAATTCGAGCCACTGTGGGTGAACATTTACCGCCATCTTGCTCGCTGACCACCTTTTTCAGTTTGGGAGAGAAAATTTAAAGTATTCGGAAAAATTTTGGACACAGGATTCGGAAACACAAATAATTGTAACCGATATTAACCTGTTACCGTCCTCACGCCATGTCACCAGTCACGTTTCAGTTTTCCAGCAAGAATTCGCGTTAAGGTGGCTTGATACAATCTTTCGAAATTTTTAGATGCACATTTTAAACAGGGATATTAAGCACCTAAATATTTCACAATAAGGCTAAAAGTTAATATACTTTGCTGGAAACATATCTAGAGCAGAAATATTCTCAGAACTTTTGCCTGGCACCCGTTACCATGGCAACAGAGACGTTTCAAAATGGCCGCCAAACAGGGTTTAATCGTGTTTATATCACAAACGAGTTCGGTGACCCCCAATTTTTTTTTCATTAAACGTTTACGCCATAAATGCTTTATCTATAAAAAAGTCTTAAAAAAATTCTAACATGGGGAATTTTTTCTATTTGCAAAAACGTTGTTTTTGCGTATTAAAAAAAACTTTTTCATAGATATATAATCTATAGTGTAAACGTTTAATGCAAAAAAAAATTGGGGGTCACCGAACTTGTTTGTCATATAAACACGAAAAAACCTTGTTTGGCGGCCATTTTGAGACGTCTCTGTTTCCATGGTAACGGGTGCCAGGTAAAAGTTCTGAGAATATTTCCGCTCTAGGTATGTTTCCAGCAAAGTATATTAACTTTTAGCCTTATAGCGAAATATGTAGGAGCTTAGTATCCCTGTTTAAAATGAGACGGAAAAAAATTCGAGAAACTGTATCGAGCTACCTTAAGACAAAATGAGCACTAAAATAATTAGCTTCTGATGAACTTTCAAAAAAGTAATATAATTAATTTCATTCAGTGTTCACTGCATGGAAGTATGATTATCGATACAAGTATTTGATGATATCGATAAAAACATTAATTATATACGCAGACGCAGTTAATAATTTGGCACCTGTGCTCTTCAAAATACACAAATGACAAGCACATCGAGCGGAGTAGTACAGAACAACGAAACAGAAACAAGTTTTCAAAAATAACGTATTATCCATCCATCCTCAAAGTGTTAGCCTTCGTTACATTTTTATCGATGACTTAGCTGGAAACTCAACCTTGACATTGTGCTTTAAAATATTTCAAAAATTGATTTATATCTTGCTTGGTTTCAGACGGACGATTGTTCCAAAGCGGCACTATACTTAAAACTCCTTCTAAGAAATTCTCTTTTTGGCTTTGGAAAAGCCAAAGAGTTTGAGAATTTCTAAGGTTGAAGCTGCTTAATAGGGTATTCCTACTTATGAATTAGAAAGAGGGAATTAATTCATATCGACTTTTATCGGCGCTAATGATAGGCTAGATTACAGTAACTTCTTACGAGGCGAATCATTTATATTTCAGATGTTAAATCGCTCCATTTTTACTGCACTTACGCATGTTATCAAGGTTGTAGCTATGTTGAATTTACAGGATTGCTACAGGCTCGCAGGCAAATTAGAGCTTATAATGTTTAGATTCTACTCAAACGAACCATGTTGTGTAAAGGTTAATAATTATTACAACAGGGATATGGTTTTTAATATTTGTCACAAAAACATTTTAAAATATAGCTATATTGCTACTGCATGGAACTAATTTCAATTTATAGATACGAACTTCATGTGCTGAAAAGCCAATTAGTTCACAGTTAATAGAATATACATGGTTTGGAGACTAAATAAAAGTACAATACAACTCATTAACTATGTTATTGTCCAGGTTTATGCAAAAAATGGTTCCTTACTGGTCATGTGTCTATTGTATTTTGAAAAATATGTTAATTACAAAATTCCTATTGGTTTACCTGTGCAAAATACAATAGACATGTGATGAGAAAGGAACAATTTTTTGTATAAATCTACCTCAACATAGCTGCAGGCTGTACCAATGCTGGGTAGGTCAAGCACCTTTTTTTCAGAAGAGCTCAGGGGCAAAAGTGTATGAGAAATAATGTGATGGTGCTACATACTCTGAGTTACTAATTGGGAAAGCTGAAAAATTAGTTTGAACACCATGAGATTCAACAGCGATCTTGAGTTTGCTATTCTAATTAGACCATTAATTAATATAATATTAATGATTTTAGGAAGAGACTTCCAACTGTGCTACTAGGTCAAGTCATTTAGAATATGTGATATTTCGGAACTTAATCTAGTCTCATATGCATGTGCTAAGTGACAGTACATATGACTCGTGTGAATTTATTATGATGGTACTACCCTTATGCAGAGTTGGTCCAACTGGACAAGCTGAAAAATTAGCTTGATCATGGTGGGAATTGCTAGAATATTTTGCTAGAACTAGTGGTGATTGGGGTTCTGAGTTGTAAATTAATATATTTCTTCAGTATTATATTGTAAACATGTTTTTGGGTTCCTAAAGCAATATGTCTGATCTTAAAAGAATAGTTGTTAGGTATTAGTATCATCCTGTATTCACTGATATTCAGAGTTGATAATAATTAACAATCACTGTACCTGCCCATTTAGCCATGTTCTGCTACAGTTGGTGGACTGTCTGGTGTTGGGGCATTTTTGGTAAGAAGAGAAGTTGAATATTTTCCATTGGTTAATTGGAGGTCCTGGGATGCAGTTCAATGGTGTATTTACTATAAAAGTTGTCTATCCAAACGTTATTGCCCAACTCATGGATCCTGATCTTCTTAAGAATAATGGTGAGTTATTCTCATTAATCATTTGAACGCGTTTTCCTCAACTGACCAGCAATAATTCATTTGCTTTCTTTTCCTTCAGATAAGTCACATGTCATAGGAATGTTCAAAAAGTTTGGAGATTACCACGACATTCGTACATACATGATACATTGGTACGGCAGCTTTCGTTGCCTTCACAGTTGCTTTCTTCAAGTCATGATAAGCCATTTCGGAGCCCATTACTAGCCCAAATAAACGTCTTCGTCAGGATAAAATTTATTGAATGAATGAATTATAAATGTTATAATCCAGTAAATACATTGTATTCAATAATTCATTTCGTTGTTTCAGCTATGGCGGTAAAATTATAGTCATGAAAAGTTGCATGACATGGAGGAGTCATTCGTGTTTTTTCTCCTGTTTATTCAACGTACTTGAATACGCAAAACGTGCTACAGAAAAAAAGTTCCGTGCGTTCCCTGACTGAGATCAGTGGGTCTATTTTGGAACGCCTGATAATTCCCTTAGGGCGATTTTCCACTTGGCAGAATTTTTCGATGAAAAGATTTTCGAATTCTTATATGAGAATTTTTACCTAGCTGATTTCCTTGACCGGTCATCGTAAAAAGGATAAAAAGAAAAATTTCATTTAATCAAAGAATTCAACCTGGTGGAAAACCGACACTCCAAAATATAACCACAAAACCACTTCACGCGTTGACTTGAGTGTGTACATATAATGTGATAATTATGCATGTTCTGGAAGTAGTATTAATTTTGTAGGGTTATTTCAAATTTCCTGATGATTATAATCCAGTGTTATAATCTGAGCTTTATTTAATCCCTGTATTTTATGGTCAAACTTAGAGTTCGATTTCTAGGAAAAGATGACTAAATATCCTCTAAAGTTGAACGCCAATGAAAATTAGTAGTTTTTGTACTAGTTTCATGAAATCATTAAACTTTAATTAATTTACCCTGACTTTCAATACGGCGCGCATGTCTCATGATTATTTGAGAGCACAATGGTCGATCTTCGAATTGGCTTATTTGCTTTTTTTCTGTGGGCAATAAAAACTCTTTCGAAAGAAAATGTGGTTGTCGTGGTTTGTTTTTTTTTCCTTGCAGCAGATTCCTATTGCCAAGGCGGTAGCTAGATCGGTTCATTGCGCCGGGGGGGGGATATAAAAGCTTGATTTTCAATGTTTTACCTTTCTTATTGATCAGTAATTATAAAATTTATATGTCACACTCACAAGCTGATCTGAGTGTAAAAATCAACCAATCAGAAGCCAGATCGTCGACCAAACTGAATTATCATTTCCTCATTTCATTTGACTTTGACAATGGAAAATAATTATCAATTTATCATTCCGCTATAAATTGGATTAAAACAAGTCGGTTTTCCCACTTAATTAATTTAAAATTTTCGCCCTTATTACTTCAGGCGCCTGATTACTCGGTCTTAAGCGCCTTATGACGTCCTGATCACAAATCAGCTGGCAAAGATCGAGTGTCAGTGTGAGTGAGCTTTGAAACTACGTGCATGGATAGAAGTTGTCAATTTCTTGAAGAAGGTTAAAAACTTTTTCAAAACAGAAAAACTCCTTTCTTCGGAAACAAGTTTGATTGGTCAAGGAAATGCCCAATGAGAATTGCTCAATAATAATGTTATTTTATAGCAAGAATTGATTTTGGTCAGTGAAAATATACGGTTATAGACAGGTTCAGTGAGTGATTTCTACAGCCGAAACTGACTTAACTGAGCGTTATTCCAATGGACGCCTGAAAAGTCATGCATAATGCAGCCCATCGCGATTGCAGCTGCAAAAATAAACGATATATCTATACATTATGAACGTCGTGAATTTAGTTTTGCAGAGCCTTATAGTACGAAACAAATTTGTAGTGAATAAAATCATATGAAGGAAACCAAGTTTATTGTATTTCAAATCGTCTCTTCTATATATTATATGTTGTTATTTGTTAAATGAAGTTTAATTTCTTTTCATGCTTGAATAATTGCCGCCTCCGCTGGAAACGTCAGGGGTCTTTCACCTGCTGGAGTTCTTCGATAAAAACAAGTTTTAAACTCAGCTTGAATTTCCGTTTAATCATGATCTGTCAGGTGAAAAATTTAGCGAAATATTTTATTTATTATAGGATCTGATTCGGATTTTTCTAGGAAAAATTACTCCCGTAATGAACAACGATAATGTATTGTTGTGACGTTGTTATGCCGGAAAGTTTCATTGTTGATAAAATAGTAACACGCAATACTTAATAATATTATGCCTACGGTGAAAAATATAAAGTTCTCATCCTCAGGGTAATGTAATTAATCATTAAGAAACGATATACTTGCAATAGAAATTTTATTGAGTTTGTTATACTGCGGCAATTTCATATCAACGCCGGTCAAAATTATTTTTGAAATGATGTATCAAAACAATCCAAAAGTTTCACGGTTTAATACCCTCATAGTTATGGTAATTTCGAGAGGACTACAAAATTTTCAATTGTAATGAGTGCATTTGAGTAAATTTTGACTTACTATTTTGACCTAATATTTTAAAATATAATCAGAGATACGGTTGCCTATATATTGTGAAATTGCATGCAGTACACGAAAATTTAAATTTCTTCAAATTCAATTTTTGTTAGTGTCTGTGACGACATCCGAAGCGAAACGTATAAGTTTGTTAATTGAAAGGCGGCTTTAATTTACATGCAAAAAAAAAACACTGAAGGCGTATGTCAGTCTTAGCTATATAATGAGTCGATCTTAACTCAGTATAGTGAATCATCCTCCGTAATGATCGCGTTAAAAATTCTAATCTCATGGATGTTTGGACTTCCTAGTTCATCTCAATGTGAATTTCCTGTTATGCGACAATGTAAGTCTTGCTTTTTATACTATTTATACTATATCTAGTTGATTATACGCCGTGGTTGTATTTTATTGCACCTTATTTTATTAAGAGGAAATTTTTTTATTATGTCACGTATTCTGGCGGGAAAACGCTCAAAACCTAAAATCTTTTCGGTGTACCGCTCAAAATTAATTTATTCTACCTTTATTCTTTCGATTATGTTGTGAACTAAGTTTTGAACTGTATTTGGTGAATGCAAAACACCGCCAAACAAAGGAGTTATTACAAAATATAATGCGGCTATCAACAATGTTATAACGTCAACGCTATTATAACTGAGATGAATACAAAAGTAGCTTCTATTCAAGTGTTATTTTCTTCTCGGCGTATCCCGAGAAATCTTTTCATTTTCACAATATTTCGAGATTGTACAGTAAACATACTTTGTGGATGCTTTTCAGGTTTGCAAAAAATTTTTTAATGCTGAAAATTTTAGTGCTGTTTCATGAAGATATAACTGAGGTTTTGAGCATATATAACGCGACATAGAAAAATATCTCCTCTTAAACATTCATCGCAAAGAAAAGCGTCAGGTTTCTAGAAAGTTTTCGGCTCTGCTGTATAAATTTGAATATTTTCAGTTTTATTTTCTATATAATCTTATTGGAGCGTAGTAGCAAATGATGCAGAATCGTGTAGATAGAATTTTCAATGCCTACGAAAAGGGCATGATACACAAGATGACACACACGAGTTACACTTATACTTCGTTACTACAGCAAACAGCTCTATTTCATATGGAACATGTTGAACTTGCTACGCTATATCAACTTTATCACCACAGTTCTCGGCTCTATTTCATAGAATTACATGTTAGCTAGCATTGTTTATTTTTGTTAATATATTGAGTAGCAAAAATGAAGATTTCTATGCGTGTTTTGCTAAATTTTGGTGATATATTAGCTACATATAGCGTCACAGATAGTATCAGAAACAAACACAATTCAATTGGAATTTCTTTGATAGATTCTTCGAGAAAAAGCGCTATTCTTATAAACAGTTTGACACGAACCTTGTGACAAATAATTAGCATATTTTTAATTACACGAATTCATAGTTCATTCATTTTAAAGTATTTTTACGAAATGCGCATATATAATGTAATTTACATTGTTAAAAAAATAGAAGGTCAATATCGACAAGGAAATTACTTGGGGAACATGTCACATAAAATGAAGTGTAAAGTAAATATTATTATGACCCTTCGGAATCACAAAATTACTTTTGACAGCCCATGGGATTTCCTCGATAACAATAGTACTGTCGTGTGAAAGAAACAAGTGTCACAACTCAAGAACATAAGTTCTAGGCGGATACTAGGTTGTAATAAATGATATGTGTCAATCATTTCTTTGTTATATTTTGCTCGGTTAAGCACTTGAAGTTTTGCGTCACGAAAAGCCTAATTCGATAAAATTATCAGTAAAATAGATCATAAGTTTGAGATATGGTTTACAGAATAATAATTTGGTAATTGTACTTTAAGTTGACGATAAATATTTTAAGTTTTGAACGTCAAGTTTTAACAATGATCGATTAAGCTAAAGACTAACTCGACTAGTACGTCAACGCCCTAAAGTAAACAAAATCGAGAGCTGGACAGAGCTTCTAACGCCAACCCACACTTGAAACATACAGCGTTTTTTAACTTACAACGGAAAAATAAATGTAAAGACGTATCCTTTTAAAACACTTAAAAGCTTGTAGATTTTGAATTATCTCATTTCATAGTTTTCTGTTGTTCTGTCTTGTTTCCTCCAATTTTATTTTGCACCAACTGAAATAAAAACTTTCTGTGTTAGCCAATTAATCAAAAACTTGTAAAGAAGAGATCGTTGACCGTTAGGCAACAGGCTTCAACGTTCCCTGACGATCATTCAGTCGAATAAAAGCCTGATTTTCAGTGTTTTACCTTTAACTTTTTCATATCAAGAAAGAACTTCAATGCATGATAAAATTATGATCACTTTGAACTTCAATGATCACTATAATAGCAAAATTTATACGTCTCAATGAGTGTCAAGTGTCACGGTGTGAGCAGAATAAGCTTCTCAGAATACAGGCATTAGTATTGTTTATTTGAATAATTTTCTAAGCATTAGTCATACGATTATCAGGCATTTCTCTTAATTTCAGTTGGATTGTTAGCGATGGTACTGTCAGCATCAAATGCACAAGTACAACAACTACCTTATTCCGAGGACGGCAAATCTTGTACATGGAGAAATTTTAAGAAGATAATTGTTGGTGAGCCTCCAAAATTTACGCCAAGTTTGAACATTTTATATAGATTTAATTATCTGAATAATAAATTTTACATTTTATCAAAACGGTTACATGACTGTCTGTACTCCCTATAGCTTGGCCCGTTTAGTTATGATTTATTCACTATTAAGTCCCCAAATTACTTGATATTCAACAAAATTCATGAAAAAATTTTATCGATTAAATTAATTTAATCAATTAAAAAAAATTAAAGCAATTGTTTGTTGAAATCACTCAAATCAGCGAGAAGTTAAAGAAAAAACATGCCCGGAAAAACAACATCTTTTAATTTTAAATTCACGATATGAGTTTATGATATTGCAACTTTATTTTCAATTGCGGTAATTTTCAGAGTATGCCAATATTTTTTCATGCATTTCATTAAATTGTCTGCTGGAAATCCCGTCTGCTGTACTCTAAATTGGTATCCTCGAAACCCTGCTTAGATTGTGCTTGATTCCTGAAAATGAATCTGGCGTCGCCGCGTCGATGACTGCGGTGGTGAGTGGTGGTGCGAAATATACAAAATTAAATTTACCAGCGAGTATGCTAGCCTATTTCTATGATGTTTTTGCTGGAAAATTGCGGCCAACGATGACAATTTAGGCCTGCCATTCTTCGTGTGCCCCTGACGGTCTGACCCTGAGAGAGTTTTAACTAATTTTCACACAATGACAGAGCTTTTGAGTCCTAGAGTAGAACCAAAACTTATAATTATGTTATTTTTTACTTAAGATTTGCCGGGAGCAGTTAATAGAAATGTAACTTCAGAAATAATTTCTAAAAATACTAATTTGTTAGTTTCTTTGCTTTGGATGTGAATATAGTGTTCTATACCGACTACCGTGTCGTTTTTTCTGTTTTTGAATAGGAAACAAAGCGATACCTCCTTCAAACTTGATCTCCAGTCACAACGTTCATCACTTGGGAAAATGTCATCTTCTCTGCATTGGTCATGATAATTGCTTTGGTTACAATTTCAGAGAAAAAAGCAACATTTATAGCAAAAACTGCCAACTAAGCAAAAGCACTGTAAAAATGAACCAAACAAACGTTGGAAATTGGACATATTACGAAGACGTTTTGGTAAGATTATCCTAATAATTATATTCTTAATATGTATGAATATGAAATTATCCGAATTTTCATTTCATATCAAATCTACCACATGTATATCTCCACTTGTTTGTACTTTGGACTGAAGGATGTGGTTAAATTAGCTTTTTGGATGCGCGCAAAAAATGATATCACGGAACAGCAAAAGACATGTGGTAGCGATCTAATAATTTAAAGTGATCCAGCATGCCTTGAGTTGAACATCATATTACCACATCATACAGCGTTATTATATAATGTACAGTACACAAATATAGCTATTACTAAATAAATGTTATAATGCTAACCAAATCACACTTACTTAAAGCATATATTTTTCTCATCATAATATTTATTGTCCATGCTATAGGTCAGAGAAGGTAAGCAAAACATTTAGTTGATGATTGTGGAATTTCCGTCTACAGGTAAAAATATTCTAGTCAGTTAGCTATTGTCTTCATTGTGAGTTGTTATCCATTGTCTTAATTGCGAGTTTTTATCCACTGTCTTATTGTAAGATGTTATCGCTTCTCTTTATTCTGAGTTGTTATCCATTGTCTTCATTGTCAGTGGTTATCCATTGTCTTCATTGTGAATTGTTATCCATTGTCTTCATTGTGAGTTGTTATCCATTGCCTTCATTGTGAGTATTTATCCATTGTCTTCATTGTGAATTGTTATCGCTTGTCTTCATTGTGAGTTGTTATCCATTGTCTTCATTGTCAGTGGTTATCCATTGTCTTCATTGTGAATTGTTATCCATTGCCTTTATTGTGAGTTGTTATCTATTGTCTTCATTGTCAGTGGTTATCCCTTGTCTTCATTGCGAGTTGTTATCCATTGTCTTCATTGTGAGTTGTTATCCATTGTCTTAATTGCGAGTTGTTATCCACTGTCTTCATTGTAAGTTGTTATCGCTTGTCTTCATTCTGAGTTGTTATCCATTGTCTTCATTGTCAGTGGTTATCCATTTTCTTCATCGTGAATTGTTATCCATTGTCTCTATTGTGAGTTGTTATCCATTGTCTTCATTGTCAGTTGTTATCCATTGTCTTCATTGTGAGTTTTCATCCAGTGTCTTCATTTTCAGTTGTTTTCCATCGTCCAGAAACCCAGAATAAAAATCCAAAGTTCAAAACATCGTGAAAAGTACAATTAGCTGAATAATTTAATGATGAAATTTCGGGAAACATTATATAATCACGCAACTGCCTTTTAAAACCCATATACTGATTTGCAATATGAACCCATGCTATTATTAAATATGTTATTCTTTACAGCAATTACAAGCAACATAAACTTTCTATGCCGAACGTTTTAACTAATGTAATGTTTTAGCAGTCATAATCTAAAAAAATAAATAAAATTTGTATCTTAGATTAAAATTTGTGTTTTTTATTAGGCGTCGACAAGTTAAATGTAAAAGTTAGGTCTGAAGAGGAAGGTTATTATGTACTTTTTAAAGAAACTTCTGGATTTAAAAGCAGAATCTTTTTCTCTTGTTTTCTAGGTGGTTCTAGTTGTCTTCACATTAGGAATAAAAGTGCAGGGTACTCAGACGGAAAATATTTGATCGACCCAGATGGAGATGGCCAAGGCAGGTCATTCGAAGTGAATTGTGATATGACGTCATTTGGTGGTGGATGGACAATGTGTTATACAACAGACAGTCATGTCAATATAAAGACTGAACTCACCACAACACCTGAACTGGGATATCGAGCAGACTGTAACAACATTCCGGTGTGTATTTATTTATTTTCTAAATCATAAAAGTCAGAATTGGCTAGTTCAAAATCACAATGTTTACCATATATTTGTTTAAGCAATGAATGGTTCCAACCATTGAAATAACTAGAGTATTGCTCAGGCTAACTATTGGGGAAAGTTATTTCTAAGAAAAATACAGAGAATGCGCGCATTATATCCACTTGACTACAGTATCTGTGATCACAAAATTGATTATTTTAGAAGTTTCAAGTATCAAAAATCTCTTTCCTTTCAATTCCTCCCTTTCTTGCTTCATAATACGTTTCTTTTAAACTGTTCTTGGAATATTTCAACGTGATGAAATTATAATGAAAGTATCCGGCTGCAAATACGAATTGCCCTTTAATGTCCTCTAGTTAGCTAATAAGAGGTTTGCTATAAGCGTTAGTTGTGCGCACCAGAACAGTTTAAAGAAAACATTTTTCGTGATATTCTCCCATTAACCACCAAAATTGAACAATTGCTTATTTCAGTTCACTGAGGTGATGTTTGTCGATGAAGTATCTAAACAAAAGGCAGCTTTCACCAAAGATGATGGTCCACCTATCACATTTGCTGGTAATTACAATAAGAATGCAGGATCATATGGCTTATGGACAGCAAATGAAGATGGTGTGGCCACGACGGAATACAAATATCAAATGCTTATTTGTGACACATCCTTCTTTAAGGGTCTTCATTTCTCTGGATATACCAATAACTGCTACAAACGTTGCAATCACTGGTGTGGTGACAAATCGTCTGCATATTTTCGTACATCTGTTGTCTCACGCCAAGACTACAAAGGTGTCGCTTTCAATGAGAATGGTCATGAGCCAAAACCAAATCGCCTGATAAGTGTAGGAATTCGCTAGAACTCGAAAAATATTGTAAAATTCAACCAAGGGGTCGTGAAAAAATGTAGGGTATACGGTAACTTTGTACACGCCAATAAATGCGCACTAAAATATGCCGAACACTAAGTTCTTTCCATTTATCAACCTGGGGCAAGTTGTTCAAAACACAGCTAACCTAACCCAGGGTTAATGCAAAACGCTTGTACATAACGCTTAAATAACCGGCCCCTGGCTTTTTGAAATAGTAAATAATTACGTGCCTATTGACTTTCTCGTGCGCGTACGTGAAAAACGCGTAACTGGTAAAAAACATTTAGCATGATAAATTACTGGATGCTACTTAACTTTCCCAGTGTCTGGATCAGCTTAAAATTTTTTTCTCGCACCAGCAGCTCATTCAACTTTCGTAAAATTTTTAAACATAACTCGTACTAGTATACCAGTAAATCTAAAGTGTACTCGCAATTGTACTCGCACGAATTCGACACAAATTGGTATGATTTCGTTAGAAATAAATATTTTTAACTAATATAGTGTTATTATTTAATATTTGGATGTTCAAATTGGAAATTATTCTGACTTACCCTAATTCACCAAAACGAAAAAGATGGCGGATGTACATTTAACCAGAATGTATTGTGGTGGAAACTTTTAAAAAAGCGAATTCACGGCTTTAGAAGAACAGGCATTAAACAAGAGGTTGTTTTCCTCCTTGTGATAAATTTCTGCATCGTTAAGAGCTTTTCTCACCATCATTTGGCCATCTTTTTCGCTATGGTCAATTCGGCGACAGGTTGCTGGTAGTATTTATTGAATGAAGACAATTGCAACCAGGAAGGTTGAAATATGGATGACAAATAAAATCGACAAGAAAAAAATAATGAAAGCTGGTGGAAAGTCACTGGATAAAAGTATAGAAAAATAGTTATAAGACATAAACTGAAATATACAGACAGTAAGTAACTAGAAAACGTGGAATAAACACTTTTCAAGACATGCGTTCTTCGTAAAATGTAAGGAATATAAAATTTAGTCAAAATTTCAAGTCAAAAGTCAAAGTTTAGTGAAATATTCACCACTTATTCAAAGCTGTATGTAATATGTCAGGCAGCTTATTGTAAAGTTTAAACAATTTTTTTCTACTAATCGTATTTGAGTTTACCATGCAGATGTTGACTTTTTCATATTGTGCGGTGGAAAAGGTTTTTATAACATAAAAGATATCTGCTTCAATATCGGGATAGTAATTCTATGCAACATGATAATATTATGATGAAACATAAATAGTTTACATGGAAATCGTCCCAAATTAATATACCTTATTGGTTCATCATGCATGGCTGTCATAATTATTTGGTTTCAATTTCTCTACAAGGGTGTATAAATTATATGGTAATTATTTGTACAATGGAGGTTATACTTATTTATGCATGTCTTTAAGATACATTCAGCTGTCATACAATGCTAGCGACCAGCAAGCTTGCAGTTGGATGTTTCTAGAACTCTTGATCTAAACGCTTTTTACTCGTGTCGGCCTTACTGCATGTAGGTTCGACTCAACGCTTTTGAAATGTTATTTTTTAATTTCGGATCATCCAAAAATGCATGCAGAGAAAATGAAAATAAAAAGCATTAAATCTAATTAACAGCACATTGAAAGACTCTGCATGCAAGTGGTGATACCTTGATAGGAATCTATTTAACATCTGAATTTCGTCTTCAATTTTAACGCGCCTTTTCAATAACCGACAATACGAAGCTAGCATTTCTGCATATGACATAATTTAATTATATAAAAAGCTGACCTAGATATATACCCAGAGAGTGTAAACTTTCCCAGGAACTAAATTTCCAAAAAAAGAAAGTTATAGATTCATTTTGAAATCTTACTGCTATACAAAGCCTGGTATATAGAACAGCTAGATATCTCTCAGTGTATTGCACCTGATTACCCACATAAATAATTCCAGTAGCCATGCACAGTGCTGCATGTGCAAACAAAAAAAATTAATGGCTTTATATCACCAGTCAGGTTTCAGTCTTCTAACGAGAATTCGCTTAAGTTAGAAAGGACGAAACACTACATGAATAATTTCCCCAACTTTCTACTTTAGTGTGAACTATATACAGTATAACTTTTGATGACGGCATAATAGGCAGTTGTTGTTGCGAAACTGCATGGACGAATATCATAAAATATATTACAGTTGTCCAACGCATGTCATAATTCCCACATTCTGGTCTACAAACTAGGAAGAAGTGAACAATCTTATTTTTATCAAATTCGTGAGCTCTTAGTTTACAACAAAAGACGAAGTTCGTTTTCGACTATTTTGGCCTAGCTAAATGCGACGAAATATGTCGAATTTAACTCATTTGTTACGGCAATTATAATCATTAAACAGGTAACATATAATATGCAGATATAGTTAAAAAAATAATCATATGTACTTAGTAAACTGTCACCAGTTCGAGACAAACAAACGACAAGTCATTATAAAGACATAAGTGCCGACTGCCGCACATTTGTAGGAGCACATAATACAACAACATTTCATCCCACCGCAAGAATGCAGTAAACTGCAGAGCAACTATATTGAAACAAACACCGACCACTTCATGAGAGGCCTTTATTCTTCTTTTATCCACAATTTTATCACCACCACGGAAGCTCAACGTTCTGCTTTAAAACTTTTGGAAAACGTCATTGTTGGTAAGTCTGTAAAGGTTTTGTAGCAGCGATTTAAAACGAAAGTTTGTACTGACATAATACGCTCTGTACTCTATACATTAATCTGTGCCAAAGTATCTCAGAAAGAATGCATAACGCATTTATTTATCACAATAGATATTAGGGTGTGGATATCTCTATATTGCCTTTTTTTCACTGCTTTTATTCACAGTTTAATACACTGCTTTTAGAAAAACCATGATTCCATAAGAGACAGTTCTAGCAATTTAAAAGTAATAAAAATATATTTGTCAGTGACGTTTCTTCTTAACTGAAGCCGATGTTGGAACAGGTAAAATTGTGAAGTTAATAAAAGAAGTGTCAGTGGAGATCTTTTTAAAGATCATTTTAAAATTTTCGAGACCGGAAATGTACTAGTATGCCTAATCTGTTAAATTAACGAGCATTTGCTAAGAATCGTTGATGTCGTGACAAGAGGATCCGGCGCCGTGCGGACGCAGCCTAAGGGCTGTTTTTGACTGTCCCGTTTTTTGTAGGCTACGTTCACGCACGTAAATATTTAAATTGATTTAAATGATACTTTTAAAATCAAATGAATAGACGCATGGGTTGGATTCTGTTGAGGATTTGCTGTGGTTTTTCTGGCATAAAATTGACTAAATAGCAACTTAGAAAGTTTTAAGCTTTAGGTGCGCGTACGTTATACGTGCAAAAAACTTCCATTTGGCAGATCATATTAAACCAATATAATGCTATCATCATTTCGGGGTCAAAACTCGCTTGGTCGGTATGAATAACGTTTTGCCGAAAGTTAGAGATCTTGTTAAATTTAATCGCTGAGGTGGCTTTTTTCATATAAAAACTCTACTGAAGGCAGAATATCCTCGAAGGAGGAATGGTTGATAAATGATTTTATATAAAGTCACTAGCTTTAGCCACTAACTACTACTTGGAAGTAGATTCTTCAAAATATTTTTTTCCGTGAACATTGTCGCGACGTGACCTGCACGAGGTTTGAAGTCTGAAACAAGAATGCTATACGGGTTGAACGTCGTGCATGTGAATTCACTTGACCGTCATTAGACAAGGCCTACTTCAGAAGGGGGTTACAGCTAGGGAACACGTCAACGAGTAAAAACAAGAATCCTGAAGAGGGAAAATAGAAAAAACACGTGAAGTGCATGCGTACGAGGCGAACCAAAATAGTGTCAAATTTTCTGACCTTTCTTGATATTGATTGAAAATGCAAAAGAAGCGTTTGTTTGCATTAGCGACTGTAACCTATCTGCAACAAAACTACGACGCGGCGGTGACATGGGGAATCATCCGTTACTCAGTAGGAACTGGACTGTTTTAATTTGTTACTTTGTCAACCAAAAGGAGTCAAAATTGTAATGTTTTCCAACGCTGTTGTGAAATTTTGGAAAACACGCAGTAGTATTACGTCACGTCGTAGATTTGGTGCATGTCAAGGCCACAGACAAGGCCCACACAGATAGGACGCAATTTTGCAACGCGGCACGATTTTTCAAAGGTTTTTTTCCAAAAGCAAATAAATTTTAACTTATCATGGTGTTCTTGTAGATTACTTAACGATAATACATTTTTACTGCTCTGGCGTCCATAGATTCTAAATTGTGTCTCCAGAGTTTGATTTATATGTGCGTCGCTTTGCCTGGTCGCATTGAGCATCCGGTCGTGTCGCTTTGGCGCATTGAGCATCCCGTCGTGTCGCTCTGCCGCATTGAGCGTCCCATCGTGTCGCTTTGCCGCATCGAGCGTCCCGTTGTGTCGCTTCACCGCATAGAGCGTCCCGTCGTGTCGCTTTGCGGCATTGAGCGTCCCGTCCCGTCGTGTCGCTTTCCCGCATCCCGCTTGAGGTCTTTGTCCGCCCTTAAATCCACTTATTCGCGCAGTGAAACACGGACTGTTAGAAAAGTTTGAAAGCGAACACCGAGGGATGTATCCAGTATTCATCTTGTGCCATTCACGCGTATCAAAGAAAAAGAAGGGGATTCTGTCATGATGATGATTTAAAATCTGATGACAAGATCCCAAGGTGAAAACGATTTTTCTTAAAGCCTTTTTAAAATGTTAATCTATCCAAAATGTCCAAAATGTGACCTTACGCTCATATAATTACCTTCACCCAGCTGTGCCGAACTTTCAACTTTACTAAACAAATTCAAACAGGAGATAGCAGAATCACCTGATTGGAGCATACAATGTTTTGACCGTCCAAATAGTCACAATTATCTTGAAGCGCGTAACGTCCGCGCTAAACAATTTGAGCGCTAAATGCTATTAATATAATCAATTATTACCTCAAAAAAATTGCGTCATCATGCATGACATGAAAGTGAACAAGAATTGTTTATTCTTCAAAGGTTAGCAAAGAAATGATAAGACACTGAATCAAAGAAGAGTGTTCTCTCATCACGATAACCAAATGTTAAACATTCTTAATTTCGTAGAATAATGTTCGGATTTCCTGCATTACTGAAGAGTGTATTTCTTGTCATGCGACAATGTAAGTTTTATCGCTTTGTAATATAAAGATTAAATTATATTTGGCTAATATTATTATAGGTCTCTATGCTATTCATCAATGAGGGATTCTTATACTCTAATGCTTTAAAAAGCATTAATGATCAAAGCTGTTCTATAATTATAATGATTGCTAGCATTACAAGCAATCTAAAGGCCGGCGCACCCTAGAGCTATATATATGCGC